TCCATCCGTCTATTCGCAGGTTCCCCTCCTCTTAGCACCTTTTCTAGATGCCACATTTGTACTTTCACACTGACTTCATTCATTTTATTTTTGGCTTTCCATTCATTTATTTGTTTTTTATCTGTTAAATGAGAATAGATAATTCTTCTACACCTGTGTCTTTTTCTTTGGGTCTGGCTTGTTTTGCTTAACATTATGCCCTTCAGTCTCATCCATTTGGCTTCAAGTGCAAGGAGTTCATCATTCTTCATGAATGAACAGCGTTCCTTTGTGCATACATGTTATATTTTCTTGATTCCTTCATCGAATGATGAACACCAAGGCCTTTTTCATGACATAAATACTGTAAGTAGTGGGTACAATTATGGACATATACATAGCCTGACAAAAATGCCATAAGTAATAGCTACAAATATGGATGTATAAATTTCCTTTTGTATACTGACTCCGTTTTAATATATAAACCTAGGATTGGAAGAACTGAATTCTATGGTACTTCTGCCTTTTGATATGAAACCTTATACTGTCTTCCATAGCAGCGGTGTTCGTGTATCTTACCAACTTCAATATATTAGACTTCCTTTTTCCCATATCCTCACAGCTTTGATCTAGTTATTTTCTAACTGGGGTTAAGATTGTAGCACAACTTATGGTTTTGATTTTATTTTCCTTATAACTGGTGTCATTGAAACATTTTTAGCAGGCATTTTTATTTCTTCCTTTGAGAAGTGTCTACTCTCCACCCATCCCCTTTTTGTTTAATTTACAGCTTTAAGAACTGTATATCTTTATCTGTGATTACAAGAGTCCAAATTAAAAAGAAAAGGAACTACTGACATTCTTCTCAGAATTGGAAAAAAATAATTGTGAAATATAAAAACACGAAAGACCTGAATAGCAAAAGCAAAACAAAACAAAATAAGCAAAACAACAACAACAAAAACTTGAGAAGAACGAAAAAAGCTGAAAAACATCATAATTTATGATTTAAGACATACAACAGAGCCACAGCAACCAAAACAGCTGAGTTGCATAAAAACAGATGCAATGACCAGGGAAAAACAGAAGCCAGGATGAAACCCATGACCTACAGCCAATTGACTCAACAAAGGTGTCGTAACCTCGTAGGAAAAAGGACAGACTTCACAAACGATGTTGGGAAACAGGATGCCCACATGCTAAAGACTGAACCTTGACACTTTTTCCCACCTTGTATTCAATCATCCCCAGCTCATCAAAGACCTTAATATACGAGGTAAAACTGAAATTATTGAAGGAAAACATGGGGGAGGGGGCAGTTTAGGATATTGGTACAGAGAATCCTTTTCCTGGCTAGGATCCCAGCCTTGGAAACAAAAGCAAAATTTGACAAATGGGTTAGATGAAAATAAAAAGCTCTGTAGAGCAAAGAAACCATCAGTAGGGTAGAAAAGGAACAGGAGAAAGAACTGATAAGGGATGGGGTGTGGATCAGTAGTATAATGCTTCCTTAACACGAACAAGGCTCTGACTTCACTCAGCGCTGCACACACCCAAAATACAAAATCAAATCATCTTTGGCCTTAAGAATCACAGAGTAAGTTGAGTGCTTCTTGTCTCCTAGTCGCTACATTTCCATTCCAGGTGTAGTCACTTTACTACAAAAGAAATCTCTGACTCAGGATCTATCCAGTTCTAGTGGGCTTGCATAGAATAAATTCAAGCTTCGCAGTACCAAATATTCAAGGTGTCTGTTTTCTAGGGGGACTTGATGAAGTATGTTTTTGCACATATTTAGAACTACCCGGTACATCAGTAAATTGCCTTGGATGTTTTACTGTTTGCCCACACTGTAGATGGGATGGTACAAATTCGGGTGAGTAGCGAGAAGGAAAGGACATTGGCAATGATTATACTCCAGCAGGAGACCAAAATGAGGACCATTTTGGGAAATCAGGGATGTTCATTCACCCTACGCTATGGAACATCAATCTGGTCCCCAGGCAGGCTGTATTCCTTTGTTTCCTTGATGTAGGCCTCAGATGACAGTTCCAGTTGGTGGTTAGCTAGGGGTCCTGCATTGTTGGTCGTTAGATTCCCTTTGTTCTTAAGGATCTAGAGAATTCATAAACAATATTTCCTGGTAGGTTTATGATCCTTCCTAGGAATCTTGATTTCTGACTCTACACTCACACACACACACACACAGAGTTTTATACTTCTTGCTGTGTTTCCAGAGTTCCTGGATTATTATTCATAAGCTTGGAACTACAATCTTTTTAATATCATCTCCAAAATGAAATGATTAATGAGCTCTGTTACTTGTGGAATGACGAGGCATTGGGTCTTCATGATCAAACCCCTCCATACAGTGCCTAGCTGTGGAATCTCATGCTTTTTGTCGCCTGGCTTCTGCCACGCAGCTTCTTAGCTGTGCTTCTTTCTCCATGGACCCTAAAATTAGCCAAGTCTTAAAATCTTCACTCCTGACTTACCTTGAAATTCCATGTCAATGTTCTTTCCAGAGGTGGAGGTCCTGTTTCCCGAGTGAACAAAACCCTTGGGTGACAGAGGTCATGTGACAAGAGGGGAATTGTATGATAGATTTGCCCAGGAAAGTATCTCAGCTGTCAATTTTGTTTTGGCAATGGAGACAGAACCTCGACGATCTGTGCCAAATCTCTCAACTTACAGTTTATAAACTCTTTAAAATGTTTGTGAAATGAAGATGGAACAATGACAAACCCCAGGCTGCTGTGAGGAATAGCATAGTGTGAGAAACACTCACTTCATAAATGCTAAGTGGTAAACACTTGTGTCCACCCCGACTTAAGAGCGTATTGCCGATTAAGTAATGTCGGAAAATGTTAAGTATTTCCTCTCACGTTACCTATGCAAGACGTTATTATTTTAATTAATTCTTTTAAGCAAACCTACTTTAAATACCAAGTATCCACTGCACAGGGTTCTCAAGGATTCTTCTCACCCTCCCCAAAATAGCCCGATGGATTGGGATTCTTCAGGTTTTCTGGAGACAGGAAAAGGTTGTCATTTCCAGCTGATAGGGTCACATCTGATTTTCCTCACCGTCTAAGAGCCTCCTTGAGGTCTGGCAGCTCTCAGGTGTTTGGGTAGCAGTTGTGGGATAGGAAGCCTTGGCAGGGCTAAGAACCTGGGAATGGTCACGTGGGCTTGTATCCTGCTCTCAGTGCTCGGGGCTCAGGGAACTTAACGTTGAACTCTGGAGTCAAAGGGGCTCGCCTGCATTCACTCAAGGGGCCCCCATTCTGGTTCATCTTCGCTGGGACTCTAGAGCAGTGGTTCTCAACCTATTGTTATGGTGACCCCCCAACTGTAAAATTGCTTTGTTGCTACTTCATAACTGCAATTTTGCTACTGTTGTGAATCATACGGGTTGCCACCCACACATTGAGAACCACTGACGAATATTGACCTTTGACTTTGGTGAGCCAGTTTGTTTTCTCTTAATGATTGCTAGAGGTCTGGAAACCAGAGCCAGAAATGAACATCACCTTCTCTTACCCTTCCATCTTTCTGTCTGGAGGAGCGAACTTGTCACGCACAGCCTATGACTTCTTGAAGCAGAAAGCGCAGGTGAATGCGGCAGGGAAAGAGAAAGAAGTGGAAGGATATCGTTAAACATGTATTTCATGGATGTGATCGGGGATGGCTTCGTTGGAGTGACAGCCATCAAGAAAAAAAAAGCTCTGGTTCCTTGTAAAGAGCCATTGTGTGCCTCTAGGAGGGTGAGGAAGGCAGCTTCCGGCAAGCTTTTGATTCCTGCTTCCGAGCTTCAGCAGTGTGGGCAGAACAGCTGCTTGCATTCTCGACTCTTCCTTCAGGACACACCTAAAGCTGGCATTGGGGCAGCTGCAAGGCCTGGGCAAACAAACAACACGACAGATGCATAAAATAAGGCAGTATACGTATGATGGCCCAGCCCACTTCCACTGCAACCACGGCATGCTATTTTTTTTTTCTTTTAAATCCACTAGGCTCTCTCAGTAAGTATAACTCCATGCTGAATGATCAATTCCTCTCACTGCTGTTAGGCCACATGATAAAGCGGCATTCATAGAACTCAAAACGGTACTGAGGGGGAAAAGACTTAGCTTTTGAGACATTGCATGCTAAAAATTACACATGCACACGTGTGCCAGCACACAGTCTCCTGGGAGTTTAATTGTTTAGAAATAGAACTAATGAGTGGATTTTATTCCTTAACTGTCTTTTATTTCCTTATATTTGTTTACAAAGCGCGATAATTGAGTGTAATAGGGGACAGAAAGGCACGGTCCTCTTCCAGTTTCATGTATTTGCTGGATGAAAATGATATCCCACCCTTAGCACCCCCATTTTGCATTAATGTTTAATGGGGAAAAAATCTATTATTGGCTCACAGTTGTGCTTTGAAGTCATACTTTACAATTTCAATACTTTATGATTTTCTCAACCAGGAAGTGCTTGCGTCTTGGTCCTTTATCGCGCCCAATTAGACTATAAACTTTTGTTCCTCTTTTACCTGAGAACCTTGGTTTTCTTAGATGCCACACCAGGAGTCAAGGTTTATTAAGTTTCATTCATGGATAATTTGTATCATTATATCACGAAATGGGCACTCAAGAGGGAAACAGTGTGCAGAACACTTTCTTCTCTCGGCGGTAAATATGCAAATAATGTATTATCTGAATTCTTTGGCCAAGCATGTTCTGGACTGGGTACAACATCAGGTTTCTTGCATTAAAAACGTTGGAAAGTATAAGGCTTCCGCACCACCTCTTAATCACCACACTTACAGTAAATCTAGATGAAAATCACGACGCGATTTAGGAAAGCATGTTTTAAAGTCACGTTTCTAAGTTACTGTAGCAACGTTTGTCTTTCACCGCACTAAGTTCCCTGAGTAGTAACTCTTGTTGCTTTGGGACGCTTTGTCCCATGGTGTTGATCAAGAGTCGTGCTTGAGGGTTTCAAACAGCGACTCCACACTACCTTTTAGTCCTGCCTAAAAGGTACCCACCAAGTCCTTTTTCTCTTTGCATTCAAGATGACAGAGGGACGCCCGCGCGGACGGGCTTCGTTGACTGTGCAACAGCGCCGCCTAGAGGCCAGATGCCTTGAGGGCGGCCAGCACCCAGAGCTGCCTCCAATCAAGTTCCCCTTTGTTTTGCTTATCTGGGAGCTATCAGTGCGTGACCGAGAACTGCCTCGGAGAATGTGGGGTGTGTTTGAGAACCATAATCTAAAGCCCTAAGTTCTGAGTTCTTCGCTTCCCACCTTCTACGGCTCATGGGCCTTAGTTTTTTGTGTTTTTTCTTTTGGACACTTAATGAGAGGAGGCTGTTTTGTTTTTTGTTTTTCTCTTAGTCAACAAATCATAGCAACAAACTTACTCATTGGTCACAAGCCTTTGGTGGCTTTTCGTTTGAGAGGAGAAAATCCCGGAAAAGTAAGTACAATTTAGTTCCCGAAAAAAAAAGGGAAAAGACTCGTGTTTGTAGCACGGACACCGGCAGGATTCATCGGTGGAAGCTGAGAGCTCGCTCCATTTCTTTTGTGGATTTCCCTGCTTCCCCCCCCCACCCCCCGCTTTGTTCCGCTTTAAACCTTTCAGAGGGCTGAAATGCATTATTACCTTGTTAAATCTCAACCCAAATCATTTCTACAGCCCGAAGCTGTTTTGACGTGGGTTGAGCATCTCACACACACAAAAGAATTGCTTTTGTTCCCAGAAGCTCTCATTGGCTGAACGGCCCGTGCTTTAGGCCAATCAGAAGCGAGTTGTCAGGCTTGGCAGGCTATTTTTAACCCAACACACAAAAACCCTGGGTCTTGGAGGCAGTCCGCGGTGGAATAAAGTCCCCGTAGTGAAAGAGAACAGCTGAATGCATTTTGGATGTCACGGCGTGTTTGACATTTTCTCTTTAATTCCGTATACACTGTTACATTACCATGTGTTTTTTGTAAACAACTAGCTTAGAAACGGACTGCATCTCGCGGCTCGGAATTACCCTTTCAGTAAAGGAAAGCCTAAAAAAAAAAAAATACTATATTCACGCTTGATCCAAAAGCACAGCGTGTGGAGCTGTTTTACACGCACACACACACACACACACACACACACACACACACACAGAGTTACCAGTTGCAGTGGGAATGCGAAGGTGCCTTTTACAAAGGGTTTTTGTAGATTTTCATCTGGGCTTGATGGAAACTTTTCATCAGTTGCTCATTGTGAGTGACAATCATAGGCATCTTTCCTGGTTGCTCTTTAAATATGCATATAATTACTCCAACATGTACACGCATGATGTGTGGCAACTAAAATTATAAATATTCAGTGTGGGTTTGGTTGGTATCAGATAAAGCATTGCTTGCAGAATGCTTCCTTATTCACCCTATTGTTCAGCAGGGAAAGGTGTTTTTACCTCCCCAAATACACTCTTAGTGACAGGACGTTAAAACACATAATTTGCGAGTTATCCAAAATTTCCAGGAAACAAAAACTGCCAAATGGGAAAATGCCAGGCTGTAAACTTTGATTTTCCCCTCAGCCATTGATTCAACGGGCCAAAAAAGAGAAAAAGCTAAGTTGAACTCAAAATGTATAACACAAAGCCATTTTATTGACAGAAACAGAGACTGTTTCCTGCAAAGGAAGTGGCGGGTGGGGGGCGGAGGTCTAAATAAAGACAGTGAGCATCATATCTAGTTCTTAAAAGGAATTTTAAGTTGTGGATTTGACCAGTATTTACCCAAGCTTGAGGATATGACTTCATTTGTTGCTCTTTGTTGATCGCCAGAAAAAGTCCTCCTACTTTTTGGTGCCAACCTTCGACGCGTTGTTTGAACGTGGTGACTGTTAATTGTGGAAATCACTAAAAGGCTTCTGGGACAAACGACTCCGATCCTGCCCAAAGATGCAGGAGTGGTTTGCCGAGAAAGGCTTCCATAGCAAGTGTGGCCCAAAATAGTGAATATGATATACACAGTTCTACCAGAACTGGGGATTCACAGCTAGACTGAGGCAAGATATGTCCGTTGCCTTAAGGAATGAAGATTTCACTCCTGGGGAGAAATGTCTCCTGTGCCACTGAAGGTGAATTTGAAAAATTCAATTGGAAAAGTGGTAACTCTTTATAACATTCTGAGGCACGCTAGGACAGATTTTGAAAATCTATGCAACAGCTCCCAGGGCCTTTGCTAGGTTTAGGTAGAAGGCCAGCTGTTAATGATTAAGTTTAATATTTAGTCTTACTAAATTCAATGAATGTGGTAAACTGAGCTCGGCAAGATTCTTGTCTGTCAGCTGTAATCAAGTACTTTAAACTACTTTAGACGTTAACCATTGAAAACTTTTTATGCCAGACCCTTATTTTATTTTCTCACTCACTTCCTTGTGCCTGGCTTAATCATTTGTGCAGTCCCTTGGTTTTTATGCTTGTCTGGTTTAAAAGTATATATATAATATATATATATAAAAGTATATATATATATATATACATGTTATATATGTATATATATATATATAACAACAATAGCAATTTTATAAATCTGTTTCCTTCTCTCTGTGTGTGCTTGCATCTAAACTCCTCAGAGGCAGAAACAAATTGAATCCAATGGGTATGTCATTCTTTTAAAATGTTTAATCCCTCCCACTCAGGATTTGGTGAGTCTTCAACCTGCACGGTTTACACTTTGTCCTCGGTGGATACCCTTTTGGAAGAAGAAACATGTGAAGATCCCTCGGTTGTGTGCCCTTGGGAGTGGTGAGCAGGAAAGGGATGGAGTGTTCCCAGGCCTTTACACAGCAGATAAGAAATGGAGTTAGCATTAACAGCAAAATGTAGATTCATACGTCTACAAGATACCTTGCACTCTGTAATCACGTTCGGAACAATCACAGGCTGACTGATTACTGATAAAATGTTAGTTGAAAAATGGTTGCAATTCTTGACTTTCAGCATTCACACCAATGAGATTGAAGAACCAATAACCCAGGGAAAATAATAACAGACCAAACAATAGTTCTGTCATGATAAAGTAGGTACTTGCTTAGAATTGATGGTTGGGTAAAACTGAGAAGGAAGTATGTCTGTCCTGACCCCTGGTATCTTCTTCAGCTTGCTTCTCTCTTCCCAGGAGCCACACTTCGCATCTTCTCTCAATGTTTCCTTCCGAGAATATGTCTTCTTTTTATCCTGAGCTACAATCTCCATCTTCTCTCCTCCCCCATCTTCCCAACTTACAGTTAAGAATAAAGCCTTGGGATTCCTCTCTCATTTTCTATTTTGATTGAACTGAAACCATGGCAGCTTTTTCTACTTGTGTGTGTGTGTGTGTGTGTGTGTGTGTGTGTGCGCACGTGTGTACCATTAAGCACAAGTATACAGAGCCTTTCTTAACATGCCATAGGATACCCTCACTATTTCCTTGACTATCATGTTTTCAATTTGATTTATTTGTGACCCTCCAGAAGAATCTTCTGTGTGGATTCTGTTGGTTTTGTTGAGCCCATTATGCACAGAGACAATCTGTGCAAATAATGTTCTCGGCAGAATGGTGTCTCCTCAATAGGCTTCATAACTGTCCGTCACTTTGACCGGCTTTATCTTGGGAGTCGGTCACTGTGGGATAGTTTATTTTCTTAGAATCATATGAAAATTTGAAAACATATGAAGAATTAGAACCAATGCACAATTTACAATGTTATCAATAGTAAAAGGCAAGTACCTTTAAAAAGCAACTGAAGACCTCATAGGATATCAAAAATCTTGAATTACATAAGGATAAGTAAAAAAAATCGAGTAAGAAGGGAATCATGCAAGTATGATTGGTATTCTAAATTTTACTTTGCAGGCTAGAATAAAACCTGGAAACAAAGACAACAATTTTAAAACAAACCATCTAAATCAAATTATCATCCAGAATGAGGTAAACAATTTGGGGAAATGCAATTTTGATTGTGATGAACCATTAAAGATCAAGTAGAGGTCATTACAGTGTTTACAATTAAGAATAAAGAAGAACAGATAACGTGGCTAATATAAAACCAAAGGAAAAGGGAGAGCTAAAAATAAAGATAGAACTTATAGCTGAAATTTATGCTGCCTTTTTTTTCTGGCTTTTACAAGCTCTAAATATATTACTTAAATAATAAAATAATTTTATTTAAATTGCATTGTCAGGGATAAAATTTAGTAGAGACCAGAAAATGTCACAGTGGGCCTCAGAATAAAAGAGTAAAATACATTACATTTCTCATCTTGTAGATATATATGTGCACTATGTGTAGGTATGCACATGGAGGTCGAAGGGATACGCGAGAGAGTTTTTCCCTTCAACCCTGTGAGGTCAAACTCAGTTCTTTAGGCTTGGCAGCAAGTATCAGAACCATCTTGTTGGCCCTAAAAGAATAAGATGTAAATGATTGTTTTGTTCTTAATAAAACACCAAACATTATAACTATGGCATTTACACCAACAAAAAAAAATCCAATGGGGATGAATTTAATATGAAAACTAAGGGGAAATAGCTGAAAAAAATCTCACTGTTTGATAAGCATGTGGTTTTAGCAAGTTGTTTGTGTGACTTTGCAAGGCATTCTTATGCACTAGAATCTCCAACCATTAATCATGTCCTAACTATGTCCTAACAGCTATGTCCTAACAGAGCTGGCATGTAGTAATTCAAACATAGATTGGGGATGATTTCAGTTATATACAGTTATGAATTTTTAAACTCCAAATATTTCATAACCCTTAAGTAATAAGCACAAATAAGTGATCGGACCAACATTATAAAGTCCTGAAACTAGTCCTCAGCCTAGAAAGCACCCAGTGGGGCTTCTTTGCGTCCGATTCTTCCAGCAACGTCTCTCTTCTTTCACGCATTTTGAAAGGCTGTCATTTCTAAGCCAGGGTAATTGATTGGTTGCCACCGACAGAATTATCTAGGAAAGCTTTGAACCACCCATTGTCAACATAAGAGTATTAGAAAAAAATGCTGCGAAAATTCTTCTAGCAACCGTTTGTGGTTGATGAAATAAAATGCACAGTGGGGGTAACCAGCCTTCTGTGAAGTCCTTGAGAGTCGGACAACTATAGTTTGCCTTCACTATAGTTAGGCCTGGTTTGAAAAGGGCTTTTTCTAACCCAGTCTATGATGGGAATAGGAGCACGAATGTCCTTGGAAGACCCCAGCTTTGCTGCTTCTTGCCTTCCTTGAATGTCAACGCTATGCTTCACCTGATGGCAATAACAAATAAGTATTGAATATTTTATAGGACTCATTAGACTGTGACCGGGGCCTGCACAGCTATTAAATGAACATAGCAGCAATGCTTAGAAAAAGACAGCTGTACAGACGTCACCAAAATCTCACAGGTATTGTGCCTGGGAATGGGCTGCCATGAGCTCTGGGGTCAGTGTGGGGAAAGAGATTCTGAAGCTCCATGCTAAATATCCGTCAGTGGCAAATCATAAAGTAAATTGATAATGGATGTGGCAGCTTGCAAAATGCAGTATTTTGTTGCCAGTTAGTGCAGAGTATTAATCCCTACAGAATAGACAGCACCATTAACCTTTGGGATTCAATGTTCATCAAACTCAACCATGACTTTCTGCAAATTTTGCTATAAACCTAATCCTTGGCATCAAAATATGAGCCCAGTGGGAACTGGATGCAAAAGCATTTTCTGCGAGATTACACCTTGTGTTGACTTTCTGCATGATCGTGATGAAACATGCGTGTGTCTTCATGTTGCTCGCTGGGCCTTGATGCTGTTAGAACTGGTTGGAGAGATTTAGGGATAAGAGGTCGGGAGGAGAAATTGAATACTTGGATCCTAATATATTACAGCACTCTTCTCTTCCACTCTTATTTCTCCTAGTTTACTATTGTGCCCTAGAAGTGTTGGGAACCATGAATATGTTCATAAACTGGACTTCAGCCGTGAGTTATGACATCATCATCCTCTAGCATGGTCAATAATGGCACAAGGCCAGTGGCACCTCCCCAACCAAGAGGGGATTGTTGCTCAGAAGAGTTGTCTCCTATATAACTCTAAAAGGAATATTTCCTTCTTGGTACTTCTAGGAGAAAGGAAAGGCTGGCTCGGACAGAGCACAGGCGAGGTTGTGGATAAGGCTAGGGTAACTCACTCATGCAGCAAGAAAGATCATAGGTCGCAAAGACCTTGTGTGTATTTGACCACATTGAATTTGCTCGGTTACAGAGGGTATGCCTAGTCCCACAGGAGAGGAAGGTATGGGGTCCTTCTACACATATTTCCATGGTGTATTTATTGTTCTATCTAGTGCAAGCACTTGCACTGAAAGACCACTCAGGAATTGTGTGTGTGCTTTTTAAAGACCGTTTCTGATTTATCTGAGGTCATTGTATGCATATTTCCCATGGTTACTGTTTCACTTAGTACTGATATATATTATGTCAAGATGAAAAACACTCTTGAGTTACTTAGAACTGACACAGAATAATGTGGGGAAGCCTACAAGACAAGTGACTGGATGTTTTGCTAAACATACAATTTCTGTGGGATGGAAGTATTAGAGAGATCTTTAAGACACATAAGATACTGCCAAAGCAAAAAAAAAAAATGTAAAAAAAATTGATGACTTCCCTAATTGTCATCAAAGATACTTTATTCAGTAACTGATGGAATCAGAGGCAGAAATCCACAGACAAGCACTGTGCTGAATCTTGCAGAGGAAAGGGAGGAAGGGATTGTACCAGCCAGGGGAGTCAGGATGGGTGAACCCACAGAGACAGCTGACCTGAGCTCAAGGGAGCTCATGGGTGACAGGACCAACAGTTAAGAACCCTGCATGGTTGTGGCATTCCTGTAGCTTCTAACAGTGAGAACAGGACCTCCCCCTGGCACCTAGCTGACTTTAGTAACCTGTTACCCTTGCTGCATTAACTCATGGGTAATCTGCGGGTAAGGGGAGGAGTTTAGTCCTGCCACGTCTTGGTGCAAGCCCATGGGAGGGCTGTCCCTTTCAGAATGGAGAGGGAGGAGGAGCAGATGGGGAGGGGTTAGATGGGGAAGGAGGTCGGGACAGGAGGAGAGGAGGGAGGGGAAACAGGTGTGTATCTAAAACAAATGGAAAAAAAGTCATTTAAATACAATTGAAAAGAATAAAATGTAAAATAAAGTAAAGAAGACCTGAGGCAGAAGTAGGCAGCTAAGAGAAGAAGGAGAAGAAACAGGCGGCAGTGCAGAGGGAAATCATCCTGGAAAACAAAAACAAACAAAAAAACCATAGGTGTGGAGCTGGGGCTGGAGGTGGAAACAGCACCACTCAGACTAGATACCTATACGAGGAACAGGTAATTGGGAGTCTGACAGGTGATACTGCAACTTGGGTGGCGATGTGACGGTCTAAAAATCTGGTCCTTTTAGAGCGGTGCTGGTGATAATCATCTTGACAGAAGTGTAATCTCGAGCTGTCCTTGCTGAATTGGTGGCTGAACGCAACAGACTAGCAACGGAGTATGAAGGTAAAGTTGCCATTGTCGTCACCCCGCGGATGCCATGCTGGCTAAATTTGATTCGCGCAGAGTGACAACTGGAATTTAGACAGGGCAGGAACTCAGAAGTCTAGGTGGTGAAGGACAAACCTAACTGTGCGAGCAAATCCACGGGGAGAGTCTTTGTCTTATTCATTTGGGGCCGTTGCGAAATAAGGATAAGTGGCGTGGCTTATAAAATATCCATTTTGCTTTCCTGGGTCTGGAGGCTGGGAAGTCCTGAGTTAGTAGCTGGAGAGTTAGTGCTTCCTGAGTCATCCATGGCGATATTCCCTGATCCACTGTTCTTAGACAATGGTAGGGGTGAAGGAGAGCCTTGGGGCCCTTTTTATGACGGTACTAAGCATGCAGAAGGTTAGTTTTTCTTATTATAACATCACTTCAGGGGTTAAGATTTCAGCCTATGAATGTGGAAACACACGGTCCATGCCTAAATGTTCAAATGGTAACGTTGCTCTGCTCATACAAACATGAAATACTGGGGAGATGCTGGGTAAAGTCGGGGCTTGTTACCCCACTGTCTTAAATTTAGTGAAAATCAAAGAAAAACATAGGAAACAGAAGGGCTAGGGGGCGCCCGGGAGGCAAAATTCCCTTTAATATCACCCGCATGAGTCCTGGAACACTATTGTGTAATATTGCTCTGGAGTCAGTAAACTGCAGCCCACCTGGGTTCCCTCACCATGTTCCCTGCAGTCCTGAGGTGAGGGGACTTGGGGGGTAGAGGTAGGGAGGTAGGCTAGTGGGTTGCAAGGTTTTTTAAAGTCATAAGAAGGACTCTCGAAGGTTACTGCGTGTGGAGGGAGTGCAGCCCACTTCGGCCCTTGTGCCGTATTTCCCTGACCCAGGCACAGCTCACACCAATATTTCTCACTTCTATTTCTTCTACCTCCTAAATCGTTGTGGACTTTGAGTCTTACCAGAGGAGAACTAATGGATCTTGGAGGCTCCTCAGCTTTCTGCTTCCCTTCTGTGTTTATTAGATAATGAACAGCTCGCCTAATGCCTCATTTTCACCTCTTATTTTACATTTCTGTTTTCTCCAGCTCTCTGTTTTATAACTGTTCCCTGGGGTGAAATAACCTTGGCCAAAGTTTCTATAAAATGGCTTTGTGTATATATCAAATCAGTATAAACAACATTATGGCTTCAGACACTTAGCCCTTTCAAAATGAATGCTTACTCCTCTGGTTGTGTGTTTTAAATTAACCCTGGTACAACAAAATCTTTGAAAGCATATTCTTTCAAACAGTGTTCTCTGGGTGGAAGCAATTCCCACATCTGTTCATTTATATTTTATGGAACGATCGGTCTAGTCTCTGTTGTGTTCCTGACAGTGCAGAATTGTGGGCACAAAAGAATGAGAAAGACCGCTCTTATTCTTGAAGAGTTTGAAGAGAATAACTTACTGGTGGTAAGAAAGGGGAGAGGTTACTAGAAGTAAACTGGCTATTTATGGCTAAAAGTCATTTCAAAAGGGTAGTCTCCAAAACGCCCATGTCACTGGGGAAATTGGTAAGACAGAAACAAGATTGTGAACACTGACGAACACTTCGGCTGTGGAGCCATTGAAGTATGGGGTGGTGCTGCGGGGGAATGTGTGCAGTTATTGCATGAGTCTTGTGTGTGTGTGTGTGTGTGTGTGTGTGTGTGCGCGCGCGTATGTAGTATGTATAGCAAGCATAGTGTGTACATGAGAATGTCGTGTGCGTGTGCATGTATAACATGTGTGTGCATGTGTAGTATGTATAGCATGGATAGTGTGTGCATGAGAATGTCTTGTGTGTACATAAATAGGATGTGTGTGCATGTATTGTATGTGGTGATGCACAGGTGCCTGTGTACATACACGCACACATGTGTGGAGGTCAACACTGATCAACATGGTCAGCATTGGCTCTCACTCCTCAGGCACAGTGGACTTTGTTCCTTAAGAAAGGTTCATTCATTGGCCCGGAATGTGCTAATTAGGCTAAGTTCTCTGGCCAGTGAGGCCTGCTACCACACCTGGCTTTTTGATGTGGGTTCTCCTTATGAAACTCGGGTTCCCGTGTTTGCAAGGCAGGCGTTTTCGGGATTGACTTCTCTCTCAGCCCGGGGAAGTTACCTCTTAATAAAGGGTTGCTCGAAATTGGCGAGGAGATCAGAGGGAGGAGGTTGCCATACACTTAAGCAGATACTGAATTGGACCAGAGCCCCTTTAGAACTCAGGAGGATTTCAGGGGGATGCCAAAACCCGGGTCTCTACTTTCAGCTTCCAGAACCATGAGAAAGGAAATCCCTCTCATCTCAGTGTGTGGCATTTTGTTAGGACAGCCCTAGCTAACCAAGATGCTATTCTCCTGAGGAGACTGATATGGGGGGTTGAACTAGGTTTCTGGTGCCTCCCTACCTATGGACATAAAACAGTCTCCATACCTCTCAGCTTTTGCTCACACTCCCCCTTTCCTGGTTTGTTCAAAGTCCTGTTATAAAAACCCCATGTTAGCAAAGAGCTGCTCTCACTGTCCAGGGCAGGTGTGGCCAACTGTGAGTTTTGATCATTCCTTGTTGTAAGTGAGGCCAAGATTCCCCACCCTGCACCACTGCCGGTTCAGGTCCACGAACTTTTCTGAGCTTACCAAGTTAATAGTGTCCCAAGATGCCACACCTCAGGGGAAAAAAATAAAACCAAACCACAAGCCTAGGACTTGGAAGGGTTTGAAGGCACAAAGGAGTCACGGATAGTTTTTGTGAATCAACGGAATACCAATATGAGGAATCTGGTCTGATTAACTCCTCAAGTTCACAGATTATTCAAAATATGGAGATAGCACAGTGCTATAGACCTAGATCTAAAATGTTGTGGAAAGAAGAATTATCCCTGTCAGTTTTAAGCCACTTACATTTCAGTTTGCCCTCACTTGTGATGGCAAGAATAACTATGAAGGACATTGTCATTATAGAGCTGTCTAGTCTAGAAACAACATTGAGAGAAGAATTTAGGGTTTGGATAACAGAGCATCAGACCACTGGAGAGAGGAGGGTATGTGCGGGCTCCACCCCCTCCGTCCCTCTATGCCTGGATCCATGCTCTCAGGAGACTGGTAACCTATGGTGTGTTCCCTTCTTAGTGGGTGAAAAGCAAAAAGCACAACCAGAAAATGGAAGCATGGTGATATTCCATTGCCTGAGGGCAGTAATGAAAGCACTGGGATTCTTCGGAAGACAATGCTGCCCCACAAAGAAGGACCCGAAACCTGTAGAGAGCCGTTCTGGAAACTACATTAAAGCAGACACGTAATAGCTCAAGGTAATAGCATTCATGTTCCAAATGGAAGGATGTTAGAAGATGGCCGACACTTTCAAGTCTGATCCTGGAGCCTGAACCAGGTCGTATCTTCCTGGAGCTCCCTCTGGGATGAGGGTGTGAGAAGCAGTCTACCCTGAGACTTGATAGCTCTCCATTTGCGGCCCCTGGCTCCCCTGTCCATATCTCCTTGTCACAGACACTCTGCTGAACTAAAACACATGCCACCGAACTTTCCGCTGCCGCTAGAAGGTGCCACCCAGTTGACCCGGTTTTTGTTCTGGAAGCTACCTCTGTACAGTACAATATTTCTTTCTAATGTTCTCCCGCCCACCTCAAGGCTCAATCATGGCTCTCAGGCCCTTTCATTATTATAAACACCATTAAAGGAAGGAATTAGGTCAGCTTTTCTGTATAGACCAATTGCTGCTGTTTTATTATCCTTTATAGACAGAGGACAGAGACAATTCTGGGCATGTCCAATTATGCACTGTGTTGTGTCATATTTACTCTAGGGTAACTGAAAGAATTAGTTGAAATGAGTTTGCTGATCTCTACTGACTAGTACTGCACACATTTTTCCAGAGTTTTAACTGGTAAAGAAGAGGCAGGAGGCGGGGAACATTTGAAAATGCATTAACAGTCTTCTAAAGAGGTGGTAGTTTTCTCTTCTGTATATGCAGGACAATACCCCTTAAGGAACCTGCTCAATTCTTAGCTAACAGAACAACTCATGGTAATCTCGGTTTTCCCCGTCTGTGTGGAATCCATTACGGAGACATCCAGTACTCATTTGGAAGACATTTGAAAATGAAGAAGGGGGATTTGCCTCTTTCTCTCTCCCAGCCAGGTTAACTGCAGGTTGGTTCTGCCTTTCTGCCAAGGCCTGCAGTTCGCACTGGGCACCAAGGACTCTGCTAGGATCTTGTAATGCTGCCTTTCCCTCCCTGGTGGGGCTGAGCATGCTAAAAAGCTCCTCACTGCTGCTGTAACGGGAGCAGATGAAAAATTACAGAGGGAAAAGGAGGCAGATTTTCAAAAAGAGGAGGTGTGACTTACCCGGAAGAAACAGTCTATCCTTTGTGGGGCTTTGAAACACACAAACAAAGCCCTACCTGCCCCACCTAGCTCCCTTTTGCCTAATCTTTAGCAAGCTTTCTCTGTCACAAAGCCCCTAAGTCCCAGGGAGGACTTAAGTTTCCTCCTTATTTTGCCTAGCATCCTTTTTATTTGCAAGATTAGTGTGTCACCACGGCTAGCAGAGAAGAGGAAGGATTGAGAGCTTTTTCAACAGTGACTCGTGGTGAAAGATCCTGAAAGCCCCCTAACCCCCACCTCTGAGACTATTCCCCTCTATCAAAAATGGAAAATGAAGAATCACTTTTCTGTAAGATAGACCATCTCTAACTGATCTTTTTCAGCAGTATATAGTCGAATAAAATATCTCCTCCCCCAGTCTCTGCTACTTCATTTTGGTCGTGGTAGGATGAAGCAGGCCCCTCCATGCAGTCCTGTGGTTTCCCTACTCAGTCTTCCCACTTAAGTGTGTCCTATAGATTCTGGTAGGACCTCTAGGAAATACATTCCCATGACAATGCAGTTGAGAAAAAAATCAAAACTGTTCCTTGCGACCAGAGTCTGAGTAATCTCAAACCAGTATTGAATTGAATTCGTCATTTCCTGTGCCTTCCCCATTGCTTTGAATGTATTCTTCGTATTGTCTGAGATACATGGGATGATTTATGTAGCCGAAACTAACATTGCAACTTTTCAAAACTTTGACCAAATGAATCCTATTTTGTATAAATTCTACTCTCATTAAAGTATTTATTTTGGAGGTATTCTCTCTCTCTCTAAAATACACGAGTTTGAAATCAGGTCTCTCTTGGTGAAGTTTAAGCAGTGGGGAAATTTTCTTTAAAACAAACAAGAGTAACACCATGTGACAGAACATAGATTAAAATAAATGGATTAAATTAAGTATAAGAGCTAGTGGGACAAACCTAAGCCGAGGCTGAATTTTCATAACTTATAATAAGTCTCCATGTTATTTGTGAGCTGGTGTCCCAAAAAGAAATCTGACAGCATTTTGTCAATGTTGAAAAGGACTGTTTTTACTCCTAGAGTGGGAAAGGGTCACTCACAACTAAATCATTGATAATAGATGCTGTGTCTCCTAATAATGTTATGATAGTTGATGTTTTAATTTCTAATTTGCTGTTTGCATACATTATAAACTATCAACATAAAACCAGTGTTCTTCACAAAAATGCAATGCTAGCTTCTAGAGTCTCTATGTTCATTGGACCATGAGATTCAATATTTATGTCTATAATAGAAAATGTTCTTATGATCTGTGTAATACAATACTATATTTAAAAAGTCTAATATGGTGAATGTGCCTTTAGAAACTTTCTTGTTTCTTCGCTTTTCAAATGCATATGTAGCAAACACAAATGGTTCTTTATATGATGAAATTCTCCATACTATTAGTTAACATTAAATAAAAATGTAGGAGACAAAATATTCATAGATTTTCCTTACCCTGGGTAGGTTAGGTTATTAATGAACATACAAAGCTTATATCTATAAATGACATCCATAATTTGTTTTTAGTTTGATGTAGATTTATGTTACCATCATAAAAAAATGTATCTTATGAGAAAAGCTCTATACAAAGTAGATTCATCATAATCCAGATGGTGTTCCAAAGTTGTTTTTTTCATGCTTTGTGCTCACTGTCAGTAGACTTTCTTAGTACATTTATATACTTTTAGCAACATTTAAAAAGGCTGATTTACACAGGTAAGAATTTTGTGTTTTCTGTTAATTTATCAGTTTTTCTAGATAACCCTTCCTTATATGGCCCACTTTGCAGAAAAAATGGCAGCAATAAACAAATAAACACACAATTTTGGCTATTTTTGCAAATCTTTGTGACCCTTATCTCCACTGATTGAATGAGAGGCCCAGATCTTCTCCCACAAACCATTCTTCAAGCAGCGGTGGCTGCTCTTCACTACCAACGGAACAGGCACAGAAACACACTTCTGGGTCTGTCTCTGAGGATGGTTTAACTGAAGAAGGAAGAACCACTCTGAATAAAGATAGCACTATCAATGGGATGGGATCTAGACTAAACTTTAAACCTGTTTTAGAAGGAGAAGGAGGAGGGAAAGAAGAAGAGGAAGAGGAGAAAGAGGAAGACAAAGAAGTAAAGGAAGAAGAGGCCAGCAAGGTGAGCTGAATCAAGGATTTTACTTTGACACCATGTTAAGGGATTCGTGTATATTTTTTTTATTATCAGTAATAAGTAGACTAAACAAACCTCATTGACGTCTTATGGTTGAAAGCAGATATCCAAACAGCAGGACTTTCCAACAACAAATTTTTGTTTAGGTTTAGCCAACTCATGCTGCCTTTAGGTAACCTTCAGTTTATGTGTCTTCGCATGGCTGAGCATGAAGAGGAGGGTTGACGCTCTCCAGAGCAAATGTGCAGGCGTGGTCACCCTACAGTTGGCCAGTCTCCAAAGATCTGAAATGACCTCCATTACTGTTGATTAAGCTCACTATGACTCATTGGTTTAAGTTATCATTCATTCTTGGTTGTTCCCAGCCTTTCCTCTAGGGTGTTTCCAACTTTCCTACTACTAATGTCAAAGATTCTCTCTCTCTCTCTCTCTCTCTCTCTCTCTCTCTCTCTCTCTCTTATCTATCTATCTATCTATCTACATATAGATAGATATAGATTCTTGTTTCTAAATGCTTAAAATAAATATAATAAAATGCATATAAGCACAAGTATGTCTTTCATGCCATTGCTTTAATGTAACATGAGGGCCGGCTTGTTGGGGTATCTGTCCTGCCCAGTACCCCACAACCGGCAACACCCAACGAAAAATCATACACAGGACTCTATAAGGTTATAAACTGTTTGGCCCATTAGGTCAGGCTACTTATTAGCTCTTATAACTTATGTTACCCCGTACCTTTCTCAGCTGGGCAAATTACATGTTGTCTCTTTGGTGGTCTGCGCAGGAGTGGCTGAGGGCTTCCTGTGTCCCAGAATACTCCCAGTCTCTTTGCTCCACCCCTACTTCCTGTCTGGCTTGACCGGCCTATACTTCCTGCCTGGCCAATCAGCGTTTTATTAAAATACATGATTGACAGAATACAGATAATTCTCCCGCACCACTTTAAAAAAGTTAATATGACTAATATGACATAGTTTTAAATAACATTGAACAATGAGATCTCATTCGTGTTCTGTTACAGTCTTAAATATAAGAGAATATTTTTGTCTAACAATAAAATATGATAGAAACTATCCACCATGCAATTTTTTTTATAAGAACATAGTCTCATTTGCTTATCTTATTCTTTGCAAGATTTAAGTCTCTTGGCTCTTCAAAATGCTCCCAGTGTTAAAGACACTGGATAATGTTCTAATCAATATTCAATTTTAGTCTTGCAATAAAAACAGGAGCTTTGAGCTCTGAAATTTGTTTCAGTGTTTCAATAGAGACTTGCATATTGTGCAAGTCATCTGTGATCTCCCAAGATGACAAATCTGTATATATTGAATATCTCACTTTTTGTGGGGAGTTTTGACTCAAAATGCCATTTTGGCCATTTAATGTCACCATTAATCTCCCTGAACTTAGGAAAAATGAGCTTTTAAAGTATTAGGAAAGGAGGAAAGATAAGAAACTTTTCCATTGAGACCATTTTAATCTAGGACACTCACAGATCATATAGAGTGTGTCTATTCCTTTACTTGTAAGAAAGAGTTGAAGTCCAGAATTCTGAGAGATACACCTGAAATTCTCCGTCTACTGATAAGCCCCAAGTTTATAACATAATGCTTAGAGAACTATCCCCGAGGGTCTTGTTCTGTCTGATTCCTCTTCTTACCTACTTTGGATAAACTACAGTCTGTGGAAATGTTTCCCTGCAGTTCACCTTAGTATAAGACGCTCTGCATTTACTTTAGCTTGTAGATGGTAGTGTCATGTTCAGGGCCAGGGACTATAGGAGCACAGGTTCATGGAGAAGCTCAGAAAGAACTTGTGATTTTTAGCTACTCATGGTTTACATTTTGCCTCTTTAATTAATCTTCCTCAGAATCTGTTGATATAGAATGAAAGGGAAAGATGGGGTTTAACACAGCAGAATAGTTTGGGCTGTCTTCATGTGACCTCTACAAGGAATCTGGTCCCAGGTATTGAGAAGTATTTGACTGATGTCTTATTTGAATATGGGATGCAGGGTAGCACCTTAGAAGACTTTTCTGTAGATCAGCCACAGAGTATTAGATAAATCATCAGAGAAAAAGATGAAAAAAGACAGCCTCTTTATTTTGGGGTACAGAGTAAAGTAATTCCCTAGGGGTGTCTGACTCTGGTATGTTCTGCTTTATATCTTTCCTTGCTCGGGTCTTTTCTATACCATGAGGATCCTTTGACGTATCTTGAGTTTGAGATGATCTCAGTATGAATAATTTGAGGAAAGGTCTCTGCATGTACCATTAGCAAGCTCAGTAGCATATTAGGAAGAAGTTTGGAAGTACTGAGTACCAGCAAAGAGGTTAAAAAAGCAGGAAATGTGGGTTCCAGATTATCATATATTCTCATTGCGTAGATGCCTCAGCTGAAGAGCTGGCTGAGTTGGCCCAAGAGCAGTTTTCACCAGGAAATGGGCCCCTGTACCCAGTAATGAGAATTATTTAGTATGATACTATAGGATGCTGGCTTCTAAACGTTAACACAGAACAGATGTTAAACCTGAGATGAGATTAATTTCCTGCATTAAACATTCCATTTGCTAATGCAAATATTTAACCATACACACAGTACTGAGTATCAGTGGGTTTATTCAGTAAGGTAGACACTGTGCACCAACTGGTTTATTGGGTTGTGCTCTAAGCATTGATTGTCTTATTAGGCTGAGCACTG